TTTATCATGTATTTGATTGTGTTTATCTGCAGTTAGTTACACGAATTCATATATGGGATGAAATCTTTTAGGGATAAACGAGTTTAAGAGTTTTTAAGAGTTTTAGTCAAATGCTTTATAATATAGTATATATATATATATATATATATATATATATAGAGAGAGAGAGAGAGAGAGAGAGTTTGGTTCAAATACAACTCATTCTATTTGTACAACCAATGCAACCCAATAAATTGAGATATTTATGGAAATGATGAGAGTTCATTTATTATGAATTAAATATTTATGGAAGATGAATATGGTTCATTAATTATGATCGATACTTTATATTGGGAAACAATAAAAACTTCTATAAAATCACATATTAATCAAATGAAATGGACGTTGTATAATAACCAACCTATATATATATATATATATATATATATAGGGTTGGGTTCACGTGAGACCAAAGGTTTTTCGTGAGACATGTAAGAACAATTTATGTTCATTGATCAACTTTATAAGCTAATGATCTAATGGTCTAAAGTTGCAAGGTGACAATTTTGTAATTATTGAGAAGTCTCGTGGCATTTATGAATGTTCAGATCTGACGATTGTAAATCTAATCCAATGGTTGAGAATTGGTCTTACGGGTCTCACGAAAAACCATTGGTCTCATGTAATCCTAAATATATATATATATATATATACATATATTTTAGCTAAATGCTTATTAATGTTATATATATATATATATATATATGTGTGTGTGTGTTATATTTGGCATCTTTAACAAGTTTTTGGAAAATTGATAGAAATAGCCAATCAAGTCTCATCTCTTCACTTTATAGCCACATTTTCAATAAATTGACAGAAATAGCATGAGATGATAGAAGTAACCACAACTTGCATGATCGCCTTTTTGCAGTATAATATTAAGAAAAAATAGACATTACACAAGTTGCGTAAGTGCTAGTTGTGTAATATCTACTTTTTGCTCATTCATGTAGACATTACCGTAGTAGCACTTTTGTGACTTGTAGAAAGTCTGCTTTTTCTGAATATTATATTAAAAAGTGCAACTTGTATTATCTCCGGCTATTTCGGCCCATAAGTTGAAAAAGATGCTATAAAGTGAAAAAGGAGATCAAATTAGCTTCTTTTGAACAATTTGCCCAAGTTTTTTTATCGCACTTTTAAAATAAAACGACTTTTTTATCCTTTTTATATAATATTTTTTGGGAAAACTGGTATCAGAATAATTGTTTGATCGTATAAACTTAATTGATATAGACGTTTGATCGTATAAACTTAAGTAATATAAAGGTTTGATCACTTTCTTTTTGCAGTTCCCTCTTGTTTCTCGATGTGGCCGAATCCGAAAACTGGTATCCGAACACCGGGAAAACGCGATATCGAAGGTAGAACTTCTTAGTTTACCAGGAGGTATCGAGACATTTGAGCAGGCTGCTAAATTCTGCTACGGTATCAATTTCGAGATCACATCATCGAACGTTGCTCAGCTATGTTGCATCGCCGATTACCTAGAAATGACCGAGGATTTCTCGACCCGAAACCTCAGTTCCCGTGCCAACGAGTATCTCGACACCGTGGTCACCAAGAATCTCGAAATGTCTGTTGAGGTCTTGAAACAATCCGAAAATTTGCTCCCATTAGCCGATGATCTAAATATAGTCACTAGATGCATCGATGCTATCGCTTCCAAGGCTTGTGTCGAGCAAATCGCGTCGAGTTTCTCGAGACTCGAGTATAGTAGCTCGGGCCGGCTTCATATGAGTCGGCAAGTGAAGGGTGAAACTGATTGGTGGATCAAAGATTTATCGGTTCTTCGAGTTGATTTGTATCAAAGAGTTATGAACGCGATGAAATGTAGAGGGGTGAGGCCGGAAAGTATCGGTGAATCGCTCATGAGTTATGCCGAAAAAGAGTTAACGAGCTTATACAATCTGAACGGTAAGAAAACCGGGAGTCATGGTGGTTCAAGTCACGAAGGAATCGTGGTACAGACCATTGTCAGTTTACTTCCGGTCGAGAAACTTGCGGTGCCGTTAAGTTTCCTTTTCGGGCTTTTGCGGACCGCGGTGATGCTCGATTGCACCGCAGCGTGTCGGATCGATCTCGAGAGACGGATCGGGTCGCAGTTAGACATAGCAACGCTTGATGATCTTCTGATTCCGTCTTTCCGGCATGCAGATGATACGTTGTTTGATGTCGATGTGGTTCATAGGATTCTGGTTAGTTTTTCACAGCAAGATGATAGTGATGATGAAATGGAAGATGGTGACGGTGATGGCGATGGTTCAGGGTTCGAGTCCGATGGGCCTGGTTCACCATCGCAAACGGCTTTAGTCAAAGTTTCGAGGCTGGTCGACAATTATCTCGCTGAAATCGCACCGGAAACGAACCTTAAACTCTCTAAATTCATCGCTGTTGCGGAAAGTTTGCCGGCACACGCTCGCACGGTTCATGACGGTCTGTATCGATCCATCGATGTTTATCTCAAAGTACGTTTTTTATATACATGCTTTTGATGCTATTTAGCACAACAAAATCTGTTTTATAGGTCGTCAAATATGTCTTAATATCATAAAAGACTGTTTTATACGATCGTAGGATCTTTTAATTTCAAACCCACCCATCAATCGTGTTTGATACGAGGATTGATCCGGTGCATCTCATCCTAATATGCATTCAAGGGTGGAGATCTTTCTTACGTTTCTCACTTTAACTCTCCTTCTCACTCGAACCCAACCTTTATATATATAACTATATACATGTATATAGTCAGGTTCTTACGAGAATAACAACCAAAGAAAAGAAAAGGTCGAATCGAATGTGATTTTACTCCATAATCATGTGTAAAATCCCTTGTGATTCACGAGGTCATGAGCCAAGCCGCCCGCTCACTATTGCATAGACCGTGTTCTGTAATCACATGTGATTTCAATGCAAAATCAGATACGATTTAACCGTTTTTTCTGTGCTTTCGATACCATTCTTACAAAACTAAACCTGCAGGCTCACCAGGGTCTATCGGAATTCGACAAGAAGAAGCTCTGCAAATTAATCGATTTCCATAAACTCTCACCGGAAGCTGGCGCACACGCCGCCCAGAACGAACGCCTTCCTCTTCAATCCATCGTTCAAGTTCTGTACATCGAGCAGCTAAGCCTGAGAAACGCATTAGGCTGCAGTTACCCTGACGACAACCACCTGAAACCACCGGTCCACCACCAATCGTGGCGGATCAACAGCGGAGCTCTCAGCGCCGCCATGTCTCCAAAAGACAACTATGCATCATTGAGGCGCGAAAACCGCGAGTTGAAGCTCGAGTTGACTCGGTTGAGAATGCGATTGAACGATTTCGAGAAGGAACATGTGTCGATGAAGAGGACCATGGAAAAATCGAACTCACGAAAGTTTATGAGTTCGTTCTCGAAGAGAATAGGTAAATTTCATCTATTTGGGCATAGTTCTTCTTCAAGAGGATCAAGTTCTCCATCAAGGCATTCACAGAGAACAGATTCTAAGGTTACAGTGAGGACAGAATGAAGCAAGTTTACCGAACGTTTACACGGTAAGTGTTTACTGGGTGTCACTTAGGGCTGTTTGGTTGGTTTTCCATTAAGTCCTGTATGGATAAAGACGTTTTTATGAATTAATATGTCTGTGTAAATAGGAAAGATTTTTGTTTGAGAGAATTTTTTATAGATAGAATGAGCATTTTTTTAATTGGGAAAGACAAGATTGGAAAACACTTGGATTTTTGCATAAAACTCATTTATTAGACCACTACCAGACATCCATGTATAGCTGATCAAATAAGCTGTGAGTCTCATTAAGCTGATAACAAATAGGCCCTTACTTTACTGGGGGAGTATAGCAAAAAACGAGAATCTTACCTAGTAAGTGAAAAAGAAGACGTTTTAAGGTAAAAGACGCTTACCAATAACTCAATTTGATGGTTGTTACACGATAAATAAGTAAGGTTGGTTACTCTTGTTGGTAAACGGTTACTGGTAAATGATTATAGATTATCCCTAACTTGAGCTAAACTTGATGGTGTTTAAATTACAACTAATCTTACCCAGTTGTTGGTAAGAAACTGGGTAAGATTAGGTAAGTTTTTTTGACGGAGATGATCATACCTGGTTGTTATTAGTTGCCGCTTAAGATCTTACCCGTTTGTTTAACGACCAAGTAATATTGTCAATGTTTTTGTTTGATTGTTGTTTAAGAACCACGTAAGTGTAAGATTTCACACCGTTTGGGAGAGAATTAAAATTGGCTTATAGGGATAGGACACATCATCTATCAGACTCGTTTTAGAACCATGAGTTCAGGTGTGGACAAAGTTGACAATATCGTTATCAGGTACGAGTAGCCTGTGTTACAAATAGTATTAGAGTCGGGAACTAGGCTGGTTTGTCCTTGAGGACTTCGGGACCCTAAGGGGTGGATTTTAAGATCCCACGTTGGTCGGAAATCTATTAGGCGCGTTTTAAAACCATGAGTCTAAGTGTGAGAAAAACAGACAATATTTAGTACCGTTAACTTGGGATGTTACAGTAAGATTTATATTAGCAACAAGGTAACATTGGCTAGAAAACTCAAAAAGCTCGACATGAATTCAAGTCAGACTTGTCATATGTTTCAAGGTTATAATTTGTATTTAAACTTAGGACCGTTTACCAAATGTTTACCGGGTTACCTTATCAAAAAACATTCTCAACCATCAAAATAGATTGTTAGTAAGCGTCTTGTACTCATTAAACGCTTATCAGGTAGGAGTCTCCTCCATCACTTATCACGTAAAATTCTCGAACCTTACTATGCTTCTTACCAGATAAAAAAACTGGTCTTTGTCATGCTCACGCAGTAAATGACCTATAGACTTGTCTACACGTTCAGACGAACCGATGTTAAAGTCACTAAAACCAGCCATACTCTTATAACAATAGACTTGTTTCAAGATGCAGGAAACAAGAACTCAAATAACTCAAATAACTTAACAACAGACTTAAAAAGGAAAGAGATCTGAACCACCCGAATCAGGATCTTAAGCTGCCGATCTGGTATAGAACCGGATCCCGACAGCGACACCCAAGATGAGCAATGGAACCAAGAATTGCAGAATCTTAATGATGAACTCGGTCGTCTTGTCTTGGTTGTAGTGAGCCTGCTTTGGAGCTGTGTACTCAACCTTGCTGGGGATCGTTGCTGTATCGATATCCCCGACATAGAATTCATCCATCATCGATTTAGCAGTCGTGCTGTGGCCCACATCTTCGAAATCATCGGTTGCATCCTTTCCTGCAAAGTTCATCACATTCTTGCGATTACGACACATCTAATGAAAGTTTCATGTCTTATACATTTTCCATCATAGGGATCACTTCGAACTAATGAAGGAAACGGTCGTTTTTTGGGAAGGGTGTCCCAGGCTATACCTGGACAAATCCCGGCAAATTGTGACCGCAAGAAATCAGCCCTCATAAACACAATGGCCACAATTGTTGTGTACGCCTAAAATCGAACCCTAGGCCGATAGGATATTCCACCACAACCCCCAAGACCTCAACCACTACATCACAACCCCAACTCGTCACAATTGCTTACCTTGTTTGTATTGTTTTGTGTTTCCTAGAATGTTGTGCCTTTGTGCTTCTTGTGAGGATATGTGAAACCCGGATAGATTATTCTCTAAAAGAGTCATTGAGAAGAGCAGAGGGGTTCCAACATATATAGAGGAGAAATGATCAAGTCTAGCTATGTAAAACTCTTAAATGTTTCTTATTTATCCATTGCTTTAGAAACAAAAAAGTAGTAAGTTATTTGTGGATGTCCAAATTGTGTTTTAAGACATGTATTTCAGATGGTACCCAAACCATGAATCTATGTGGGTACCGTTATAAAAATGGTCCTTTTGATTTGCATTTCATAGACTTAGTATAAAGATTATGCATTCGACATTACCGAAAAAACTACTCTTTAGGTAAAGGCCAAGTTTGCGTACATCTTATCCCTCAGGCCCCAATTCCGTGTAGGTTTTACTGGGTTCGTTTGGTTTCCTTAGGTTCTTATGCTACATTCAACCCTTAGGGCAGAGAAAAGATCCACATACGACCAACCCCAAATAAATTAGGGTGCTTTGATGTCCAGATAGGATATAATAGAGCAAGAACTGGAAAGGA